TATCAGTTAAATAAAATTAAAAAGAAAAAAATTAGATTGATCAATAAAATTGACATAAATTATAAAAAAGAGAGAAGGAGGATTAACCGAGAATTTTTAATCATTAACTCTAAAACTTATTGACATGTAAATTTTAAATTTTATTTGACAAAGATTATGCTATAGGCCTACATATTTACGTTTTTAGGGTATTTGTCAGCTCATTTAGTTGGATAATCATATTAATAGTGTATCAAGTGTAATAATAATCTAAATATATTTTAATTGTTAATTTATTTGTATGGTATAGTAATTAATTTCGATAGTCGTGATATAACTAATACTTATAATTATAAGACTTGATTCTCAAATAAGTGTCCAAACTATTTTTTTTTGTCAAATAAGTGCCTCGGTTTTTTTTTGCTCATCAAAGTGTCTAACATTAAAAACGTTACCCTTTTAGGTGCCCAGGTCGTCAACGCCGTTAGTTTTCTCCGTTAAGTGACACGTGGTAATTTTAAAAATTTATATAAAATTAAAAAAATTATATATTTAAAAAAAGGAAAAACATACATTTCAAAATAACCCTAAACTTTGAAAACTTTCATTTCAACCCCTAAACCCGCATCGATCGCTACCCTTTACCGTTGAATAAGCTCCACATGGCCTCCCCTCCCCCGACGACCATAACCCTATGAAATCGTGACCAATTGAAGATCAATTGACCACGAATTTTCTTATTAAATCTCTCAAACCCTAAGATGAAAATCGTGATCCCACGCGATTTCGACGGTGGCAACAACTTAGATATCATATAACTAGGATGATGTCAAGGACTACGTCGGCGATGCCAGTGGTGGCTGGAGAAGGCGACGGCGGATTAAGGTTAGGATTTAGTATTTTGGGGTTGTTTTATAATATAAGAAAAGTTAGGTTTTTTTATTTATTTATAAACATAATAATATTTTTATATTTTTATTAAAAAATAAAATTCAAAATTACCAGGTGTTGACACGTGGCACTTAACAAGGAAAACTAACAGTGTTGACGACCTGGACACCTAAAAGAGTAACATTTGTAATGTTAGGAACCCGGATGGGTAAAAAAACCGTAGGCACTTATTTGGCAAAAAAGGCATAGTTTGGGCACTTGTTTGGGCATTAAGCCTAATTCTAATTCAACTTGATTTTAGGGTAAACTACAAAGTTTAGTACTTAAAGTATCACTTTTGTTTCATTTTAGAACCACATTGTTAACTTTTTGTTTCATTTTAGTACCTAACTTTTTAACGACAATGTACTAAAATGAAATAAAAAGTAAACTTTAGGCATGAGTTTAAAAAAATTAAAATTTTAGGTACTAAACTTGTAGTTTACCCTTGATGTTAACTATAATTATATTAAAAGTTAACGTCAGCGAAACCGCTATAATTATCTCTTATATTAAATCTCAATTAATTTAATGATTTTGAAATTCTTCATTTACCTAATAAGATTATCTTATATTATAATTAATTGTTTAATTTAATGATTTTGAAACCCGAAAATACCAGAAAAATAAAATACAGTCGAAGACTCGGACAATTGGATCCTAAACGCAGCATCTTCCTCCTCACCAGCCGGTCTCAGTTTTATTTTAGGATAAACTACTTGAGATACGATTAGACTTTTGTATTTATATCAATTTCGTCATTTAACTTTAAACCATTATAATTGCAACATTTACTTTCATCTTAAATTCAATTATAACATTAAATTGTTAACCTATGATTGACACGAATCACACGATGATATGATAATCTGTTATCGATATAACATTGGGTTGGAAATAAAAATTTGTTTTTTTAATTCATTGATCACCTTCTTCATCAACGTTAAGATTTTTTGTTTATATTTAGTCGCTCTTAAAAATTGTCATTATTCGAACTCATCAAGTGGTCTCACTAGTTAAAGAGAATATTGTACTTCCTAAAAGTCATAGGTTCGAACAACTGCATCTGCATGGTGTGTGAGTTGTCAATATTTAAGAAAAACAATGAACATATATTATCTTATAATTACCCAAAACTAAACAACATGTAGTCAGAAAATACATAATCAACTGATATGTAAAGACTTTACCATATAGTTTAACAAATTTTGCAGTTGATCTCACTTTTTGCTTAAACTATGCATCAATCTCACGTGTACTAGTGAAGCTTTAAGTTGAGGCCTTAGCCCTTAGCCAAAATGCCCTCTTTTGCTAATCCTTTTTTGGATAACTTTGTATTTATACAAGTGAGCAGTGAAAACCTGCCGTCAAAACAACAGTACAACCAGAAACAAAGCCATTAGTGATCACTACCCAAGTCAATTGTCCAGTTATTTCATAAACCATGAATTTAATGGGGGAGTCAGACATTCTTATAACTCATTTGTATGGGGCTTATTGTTTCATTTATTCCTACTGCACAATCTACCAGCAAACCTGTTGATAAGCTGCAATTTCTATTGGTACAGATGCATATGCTAGCTCAACAACTCTGCTTCCCTCCATAAAGATTAAATACACACACATATATGCATCAACAGGCAAGCACATCTTATTGAAATAAGGCAGCAACATGGTGAGAAATAACTGTTTCTCATGTGTCAAATATACCATAGCCCGAAGTTTAAACAACAATAGAGCACTATAGATTGTCAATTTGGAGCATAAGGTGGATTGCCAAATCTTTTTCTATTATTTGAATTTGGCCAAGAGGTGTTGAATAGGTGAAAGTTTTTGCTTATTTAACTGTTCTCAAGCGGTTGATATTACTTCTCTTACTTTAATCTCTCTCCTATAGCTTGGTTGTTGTCTCCTTTAATTCATGTACTTTCTTTTCTACAGCCTTGCTCAATGGGATTTGCCACTGGTGGGAAAACATTTTTCTTTGGGGAGGGTGTATGATGGTACGTAGCTCACCCTATTGCTCTAGGTGCGTCTTATACAAAATTGAAGGATTATTTCTGATTCTTCTATATTGTTTTGCAGATGCACGCTGATGATTTTAGACAGGACAATTATGGTGTGGTCTCCGAACTTCGAAATGGTGGATACTCTGATGATATGACACTAGCTGCAATAGCTGGTAATCTACTCTCAGTTAAATGTTTTAGCATACTAATATTTCTGTTGATATATGGAATTACTTGTATACTCAAAAGACTTGCAGCACTTTTACTGTTTGTCTCTTCTCAGGAGCCAACAAGAGGCTTATTACCTCTCCTCCTGTAGCTGTTTTTCCTCATCCTCTTGCAAGTGACCTTAGTTTCTCTAGGTTTGTGATCTTTACCCGTTAAGCTTTTCTTTTATATTTATATCCTAGTTGACTTTGACTTCTTATCCAGGTATATGTTACTTGAGGAAGCAAACATTTGTTTTGGAGTCATACATAAGCAGGGTTAATTTGCTAATGAACAGAGGACTATTTTCATTCCATAGCTATATGTCATGGGGATTTGTAGCGCCATATTTGATGGCTGCAATTCATGTTGCAGCAGCATTAGAAATCCATATCAAGGGTTATTCATATGGGGAAACAACTTGTACTACTACAGGTGAGCACATTATTTTTCCATTCCAGCTAGGTTAGGCACACCGATTTCAGGTGTTGTTGTATGCCCGTCTATTTGATGCATTTTGAGTAACAGGAGTTTGTTTTGTCTTTGGCCGAGACCGTACAAAGTTATACCGATAATCTACAGGTTCCTCTTGGCCCTCAGCATATTGGTTTTCTAGTAATTTAGACTTGTATTCAGGGATGCATTAACTGTTCTCCCTCCACAACTAGAAATGCTGGCAGTATTCCTTGTCACATTTCAGAAGAACCTTATTCGATCTAATAAAATGGAGGCTAGAGAAGTATACTATGATATTAAAGTTCGTAATAGCCACTGCAACTAAACAAACTGATCTTCGACAGGATTGTTACTGACAAGTTGACTAGCTATATGTACCTTTACGGAGCTACTTTCTATGTGGAACTTAACAAGGATTGAAGTTCAACTATGCAACATGTTATCTCCCGAGGCACCTAAGCTCTCGCTTGATTATTACAACTGGAGCATGGTAAGTATCTACACATTTTCCTTTCCCCCGCAACTGTATATTTCTTAATCCTCCATGTTTAGAACGATGTCGAAAATGTCTGTTTTTTTTGTCTGTTTCCATGCCGCATCTGAAAATTTAAAAGCCTGAAATATTCTCCACCGGATTGGAGTTAAGTTGTGTGTACTCAAGGCTTCGGTTAAAAGAAAATTTAGGTTTACATGTGTTTTCTGATTGAGCAGATCTTTGTTGCAATGCTGGTTGATAACTTTCTATACCCTATCTCCTCATTCCGATCCCATTCCTCTCAATCTATCAATTGGTCGGGCATCCAATATCACTTGAAGGATGGAAAAATAAGCAAAGTAAGTCGGTTGGACACGACACTTAAGATAAGCTTCATATTCGGGTCGTGCTAATGTGCAGATTGAAAGGAAAAAAGATAAGGGTCCAAAGTTCAGAGACTTGGGAGGCAAGCATTTATATGGTAAAGGGAGCTCCTCCAAAAGCTTCATTCTTAAGCTCACTGGCCAGAAGCTTATGTCAGTGGCATCAACCGAAGAAATACGAGCTCTAGATTGGGTTAATTTTTTTTTATATAAGTGGTCCGTAGAGATGTGAAGTTGATGAGACAATGAACCCCGATGATTGGATATGGAACATCATAGTAGCAGTTAAAGTACCTGTTTGGTCCCAAAATGAATTGCAAAGAATATTACATTATAATGGTTAAAATTAAATTAGGATTCAAATTTAACTAATTCAAAATATCATTTTGGCGTCCGCCGAAAGCAACACTCAAAGCGATCGGGGAATGGAATAAAGTTGAAAACAACAATTAACTACGTGAGTATCCGAGTCAATTTTTCTTACATGTAAGGACCGTTTTAATCAATTTTAAAAAAGTGAAGTACTAAACTGTATGGAACTTTTATCCTTTTTCTTTCCTTCTTGCCTATGTTCCTTTCCCTTTGATGTCCAAACTAGTTCCCTTGAAGAAAAATAAACAGAAAAAAATGGGGTGTTTCAGGTCCAAGAGTTCCACAACTTGGCATCCCATGCAACCCCCCACGACTGAACCTTCTCCTTCGTACCCAGATAACGAAAACCTCAAACAAGAGCTTCTCATACACATCCCGGGATGCACGGTTCACCTAATGGATGAAGGTGAAGCCATGGTACTCACCAATGGCGAGTTCAAACTCGTTCGTGTACTAAACGACGACGTTCCACTTGCCACCATCGTCAAAGTCGGGGAGGATCTTCAATGGCCTTTGACGAAAGACGAGCCCGTCGTCAAACTCGGTTCGTTTCACTACCTGTTTTCGTTGCCGATGAAAGACGGGAATCCTCTGAGCTATGGGGTGAGCTTTACGGGGAGGTTCGACGGCCGGTCGAGCTCGTTGGATTCGTTGTTGAAGGAGCATTCGTGCTTTTCCGGTGAAACGTCGACCGGAGAAAAACATGTTGATTGGAAGGAGTATGCTCCGAGGGTTGAGGATTATAACAATGTTTTGGCGAAGGCCATTGCTGGTGGGAGTGGACAGATTGTGAAGGGAATATTCAAGTGCAGCAATAGTTATACCAACCAGGTTTGGTTTTTGTACCTCTAGTAATAGTCTTGACATCCCTCCATTCTATATGGTCTAGTGTTCCTTCTTGTTTAATTCTATGTTGTTTAGGTTAGAGTTGTAAGACTTGAATTTTAAAAAGCAGGTTAAGAGAGGAGGAGAAACCATATTAATGCAAGCTCCACCAGCAAGCAAAAATGGTTGCAAAAGGAAGAGTAATGGAGCTAGCAAAAGCCTCAAACGGTATATGAAAAAAAACGAGATTTTTAGTCTATATTTTCCAAGTTCATCATGTGAAGTTGTGCATCCAAGTCAAAAGTTATTGACTGCGAGGCACATGCTGTGTGTGTGTAGTGTGAGAAAGCTGTCGAAAATGACTGAAAAGATGAGCAAAGCGATGGTGGGGATGGTTGGTGGGGCTAGTGGAACAGTGATGGCTCCATTAGTCAATTCCAAACCAGGCAAAGCTTTCTTATCCATGGTTCCTGGACAAGTTCTTCTTGCTTCTCTTGATGCTGTTAGTGAGTATACCAAAAACTATATATATATAAAACATCTGTTCAAACTGTGTAGAACTTTTTGATGTTATATACTTTTAAGATTGTTAAAAGAGCGGAAATAAATGATTGAGATTAACGGTAGAAAACGAGAATATATTCACAAGAAAAAGTATATAATCTCAATTGTCTATTTTCGATCTATCTGTGTAAATAGATTTTAACCCATATATATATATATAGATTATGATCTTCTTACATTCGGTGTAAAATTAAGAGTTTTACATTACAATTGGATTGATGAAAATCAAATACTAAAATTAACTCTTTATTTTTTTAAGCGCATATCTTCTCATTTCCTACTGTTAATCTAAGTCTTTGATTTTTCTCATCAAATGGTCCTAAAAAATGTAAAACTCTTAGTTTTACTCTGGTTTAACAGGACCCGGTCCCCTGTATATATACATATATTTCAGTGTCTGTTGAGTTTCTCTAAAACTGTGGTATGATAGAAATTTTCTGTGTTTGGTAGATAAGGTTATTGATGCAGCTGAAGCTGCTGAGAAGCAAGCTTTTTCTGCAACGTCATCTGCAGCAACCAGAATGATGACGGATAGGTAACATCATATACGAACAGAACTATTTTGGGAGAGTTTTGTGTCGGTTTAAGGATCTGATTCAACTCGACTCGATCTGTGTTAATGATCGTAGGTTCGGGGAAAGGGCTGGGGAGGCTACTGAAGATGTGCTAGCAAGTGCAGGGCATTGCGCAAGCGCTGTTTGGAATATTTTCAAGATAAGGAAGGCCATGGCTCCTACCAAAACTGCTACTTCTGGAAGGAAACGTTAGTGCACTCTTTGTATTCAAGTGATTCTCATCGTCTACAAAAGACGGTTTAAAATGCTTTTTTTTAGTTATTAATGTATGTTTATGCTTGTAATTTCATCAAAATGAACTATGAGTTAAATATTAAAGGCTCAAATCTTGTTTAACTAATGTTAATGCATCACATGTACAGCTGCATGGATGGACGACATTGAGACTCCATGCAATGCTCACCGACCCCGCGGCATGTAGAGTATTGCAAGGCACGCATTTTCCAATATAGTTAAACTCATAAATTTAAACAAAAATGCATGAGAGGTCTCGTACGTAAAAAAAATTAACATAATCCTCGTATTATTTTATCTTTCAACGTGGTTTTCTAATTCAGAAGATAAGTTCAATGTCATCCTTTCACTAACGTTTTTCGTTGTTGACCGTTACAGTACTAACGTGACAACATACGGTGGTTGATGATATGACAGATAATATGGTACATGGGCTAAATTGGTAACCAAACATGGCAGATGAACTGTCACGTTAGTACCGTGAATCGTCACGTCAGTATCGTAAACTATCACGATCAATATCGTAACAGTTAAAAGACAAAAAATATCGATCAAAGAGTCACATTAGATTTATTTTATGAATTAAAGGATCACGTTAAGAAAAAAATAATAATAGAAGAACCACATTAAGTACATACCTTTTTGACGTAAATTTATTATTATTTAAACATGAAATAAATTTAAATATATTTGAATCAAATATGACTAAAGATATAAAGAAAACTAGATATGATTAAAAATGGATAAAGTATTTCAAAGGTCCTTAAACTATGATCAAAGTCATTTTACTCATTAAACTTTTAAAAATTATAAAATAATCACTAAATTCATTAAAGTTTTATAAAATGGTCATTGTGATGTTATAATTAAGGATTATCATTTCATCCGGAGCCGACAGATTTTGATCCGACTCAATTTGATCTGGTCGGATCAATTTTTATTTTGATAAATTGAGTTTGGATCACGTTAGATCATGCTTTTTTAAGAGTGGATTGGGTCGGGTTTAGGGTGAAAAACTCGATATGACAAAATATTATAATTATTTTTGTATATTTATGAATAATTACAATTAGAACCCTTTATATTTTATTTTTTTCAATTAGATTTTTATTTTAATTAATAAAATGATTATATATATTTATGTTAGATTAGGTGAGGTCCTTGTGCGGATTTTGACCTAAAAAAAATTGAGTCAAGCGTAAGTGGAAGATTTTAATTTTCGTCTCAGATTTAGGTGAGCCAAAAACTCAATCCGACCCATTATCATCCCTAATTATAATAATTGATAAATTTAATTATAATTTTATTACAATTAAATTAAATTTAATGACCATTTTTAAAAATCAAGTGATTAAAATAATTATTTGGCCGTAGTTTAGGGACTTATAGTGTATGTTACTCTTAAAAAAATATATACCTTTTCGATTGTCAAACATGCAGGCGGCTTCCCCCCACACCTTTATAAATGGAACTGCACAGATTGCTTTAAACTTATCTGCAAAGCCTCTACGAAAACACCACCAAAGAGAAAAGCTCCCTTTATTATTTTTCTAATGGCGGCCGGCTCAACCAAGTGTCACTCCGTCGTCTCCGGAAATAAAGCTGTTTTGGTTCCTTTCGATCAGCGATGTTTCGACCTCGACGCCGCCATTGTTATGCCGCAGAATCCCGGAGCCACGCCTCGTACGGTCATCCGTTTGTTTCCGGACATGCCGACGGGTGATTACGCATGACTAAACCTTGAAACTATATCCAAAAGGAGAAAGAAGATAGAACGATGCACTTCAGCAGTCAGAAGCTCCTCAAGCTGTGCATTCTCAGATTTGTATTCTCGAAGATGGGATGAAAGTCCAGCACAAACCTATAAAACAATGTAGAAATTAGTTATAAATTCTAAATTACAATTTTTCAGAGAGAGGGAGAGAGTAGAAATAGCCCCATGTCTAATCTCTGAGCAATTCCTTAGAAGGAGACAATCCATCATTTATCATCCGACTGACATATCCCTTAAGGTCAGATAGTGAACTAGTCTTTTCCAGATGTCTCAATATCTCTGGGGAAAAACACTAAATTCAGAGAGCTTACCCGAGCCAGTCTAGCCTCTTTTGATTGACCTGTTGAATTGCTGGTTTTAAGCAGTCCTTGAGCCTGAACAAGAACTAAAGAACTAGTGAATATAGCTTTTAAAGTGGAGTCACTCGAGAAGATTCAAGGACATGAACAAGAGCAATTGCCAACTCCGGAAGTTGGTCCTGAACTACCATTGGATGAGTATCGGCATTTTGTTCCCGTGGCTCCTTTTGATTTGCAGGAGTTTCAACTTTTATATCATCTTCTTTTAGTTGAGCTTCAATGTTAACGGGAGAATCGGCAACTAAAGGTTGTGATCTCTCTTGATCAGTCTTTGAAGTAACATCTGCATAGTGGGATTCAATATTTTGACCACAATCACCTAAATGATCTTCACTATCAACCTCAATATCTTTGGCAGCTAGAAGGGAAGAAGGGTGCTCCACAAGAACGTTCGAAGAATTCTCATTGAGAAGCTTGCCATTTGAAGTTGAGCAAGAAGCTTCAGAGATGCCAACAGTTGTATAGATTTCTTCCTGATCATCATCATGTTTAACTACATCATTATGTTTGAAGTTTTGCAAATGAAATCCAAATTCTTAATTTAGAGGACTTATAGGGACTATACCCAGTAATTTACCGGCTTTTCCTAAACGGCGTCGTTGCTTATTATGCGTAGTAAGATTCTGTCGAAGTGGGAAAACAAGCACCAGAGAACCAAAACAATTTTCCGCAGCACGAGCGATCGACGGAAGCTGCTTGCGTCCCCGCCTCCCAGAAAAAAAAAAATGCAAAACCAAACCGAACCACCGTCAGAAGCCAACGCTGAACGAGATGATCAAAAGGAGATGGATTTATCCTCCATCACCTCCCTCGATTTCACCTGCTACCAGCTCCGCGATCTCGACTCGGTGGAATTGCCGCCAAATCTCACCGAGTTAGACCTGACTACGAACCGCTTAACGAGTTTGGACCATCGTATTGCGAATCTCGTTCATCTCAAAAAGCTCTCTTTTCGACAGAATCTCTTCAACGATGCTGCTATCGAGCCGATCTCCCACTGGGACTCGTTATCCGGTCTTGAGGTTATCTTATTCATTTTTTTCCAATTTAATTGGAATTTGTTAAAATTATATGTGTGTGTTTGTGTGAAATTTATGTACCTCTTGTGAATTTAATTTTTTTAATGCACAATTTTATGTTTGTATGAACAAATTACTCTTGAATGTCTGTTTTTTTTATTATTTAATTCTTTATAAAAATGTTTGTAATTATTCTTTTACAATTTGCTTTAGTTTTTTAGCAGTTTTCTGGAATTAAAAGCTAAATAAAAATGAAAAAAATAAGTGCCTAGTGAAGAAGCTTGGGTTTATTTCCCTTTTTGTGCAGGAGTTAATACTAAGGGATAATAAACTGACGAAAATACCAGATGTTGGTATATTCAAAAAGCTCTTGGTTTTTGATGTTTCTTTCAATGAAATCACCTCGCTTCAAGGAATGTCGGAGGCCTCCAGCACAATCAAGGAACTCTATGTCTCCAAAAATGAAGTTTCTAAGATGGAGGAGATTGGCCACTTGCATGACTTGCAAATTCTTGAACTTGGTTCGAACAGGCTACGGGTTAGTACTTAAATAATGTGAACCAAACATCTATTGTTTGTAGCTGGTAGATGGAATTCTTTTGTTGCATGGCATAATCTTTTTGTTAATTTTGGTTTCAGTGTTGAAGGATAAGGTTCGTTAGTTATCATATTAGTAATTTTTCTAGCATAGTCTAATATTTGAATTGCTTTTTTCGATCGTGACATCTTAGGTAATGGAAAATTTGCAAAATTTCTCGAAGTTACAAGAACTTTGGCTAGGAAGGAATCGAATCAAAGTGATAAATCTTTGTGGGCTTAGTTGCATCAAGAAGATTAGCTTTCAAAGTAACCGGTTAACTTCTATGAGAGGGTTGGAGGTATAGCAATTTAAAAATGTAGGTTCTCATAAAGATTTATGTATTTCATAACATATGGTTGAGATTTTTCTTTTGGATTTTTTGTTTTCAAGGAATGCATTGCCCTAGAAGAAATATACCTGAGCCACAATGGTATTTCAAAAATGGAAGGCCTATCAAAATTGGTCAACCTCCGAGTATTAGATGTTTCAACAAATAAGCTAACATCAGTTGATGACATTCAAAACTTAACAAGGTATTTTCCTCTTCTCTCTCTGGGTCTATCATAAGTTGTTGAATAATTTTGTCTGCAGGTTGGAAGACTTATGGCTCAATGACAACAAAATAGAATCACTTGATGGCTTAGCTGAGGCGGTTTCTGGTTCAAGAGAAAAGCTCACCACCATCTACCTTGAAAACAATCCATGTGTATGGTTCACAACTTGCAATCCTTAGAGCCTACAGCTTTTGTTGTTTTTAAATGATTGCAGCATTCATATGATTCAAATGTTTTCTTGTGGCTAATTGGTTGGTTATCTTTATATGTTTGGTTCTCTATATGGCTCAAAGTCGTCGTTGGAACATGATTCATTCTTAATCTGTATGCTATGGAGCTGTGTTTCTTGTCGTGTTTCCCTGATTTCTTATACATAATCTTTTTCTCAATTATGTTTCCTAATTTAATATTTGGTTGAAAACACTAATTACTGACAGTGTATGCCTTTAGTGCATGCTGTATTGTCGCTTCTATCTAAACTTCCTTAGCGGAGTTCAGTGAAGTCTATACTCAATACTCTATACCATCATCCTTACCTTGGCTTATTGCATTCAGTTTAGCTACAGAGTTATTGATATCAACATCTTTTACGTGCACACTTGGTTATCAATTTTGTTGACTTTTCGTAATCGCCTCTTCTGGCTTAGTATTCATTCTTCGATCCTAATCTTCTCTTAATTGATCAACCTTTTTTATTGCAGGCAAAGTCTCCTAACTACAATGTTACCTTGAAACAAATTTTCCCCAATATTCAGCAAATTGATTCTGAAGTATTTGCTTAGATGTTATGGAGGTTCTGAACTGTTTTAGTTATAAATTCGCAGTCATGCGAGCAGTGTGTTAATTGTAACATCTCTTCGGAATCTCGTCGGGTGGAGTTGCCGAGTTTGCATATTTTGCTGGAGGAAAACAGGGTTCTGAAAGTGACCCCCCTAATCCTTTAAAGGGGATTAGGGTCATCATGAGATGATTCGTTAATCATTGTTTTGAACATTCTAAATTTATTGAATTGTAACCTTTTTTTAAGGAATCGTTAATCCTTTAAAGGGGATTAGGGTCAAGTTGAGTTTATAAAATTATAACTCGAAGTCAATTCGAGGCGAAAAATTCGGTTTTTCGAATCGAGTCTTGCTGATTCATGGTGGCGGGCAGTTAGCGTTATACGAGGAGAAGGCAATATATTAGGATGATCGATTTAGAGGTTCCAACTTAATCCGCTAAGATTGTTTCTTAAATTGAGTTCGAAACAAGTTTTCTTAATTTGAGTTTGAAACAGGTTTTGTGAAGGAGAGAACGAGGACAAAATCAAATGAGTAAAAAATTCCTGACTCAGCTATTATAATTCCTTTATATATTAAGATAGTTAAAATAATGCCCTTTCTCTATATTTTTCAATTATTTTCTTTATCTGACCAATAAAATGAGAAAAATATCACTCGTGTTGAATCGGAGGCAATTTTTAGGGTAAACTATACATTTAGTACCTAAAATATCAGTTTTGATTCGTTTTAATACATAAACATTCAATTTGTTCAAAATCATACCTAAAATTTAATTTTCATTTCATTTTAGTATCTCACCATTAGAAACTTAACGCATTTAGCACCTAAACTATCGGTTTTGTTCAATTTTAGTATCTAAAGTTTCAATCTTTTTAAAATTTAACGTTAAATTTTGAACAGGATATTAAAATGAAATAAAAACTAAAGCTTCTAACAACGGGTACTAAAATGAAATAAGTCTAAACTTTAGATATGATTTTGAAAAAATTAAAAGTTTAAGTACTAAAACTGATAGTTTAGGTACTAAACCACAATTTACCCAATTTTTTTTATCTCAAAACTTGGTTTAGATTCGGGACAAATAGGATGAAAGCCTTTAAATTTTGGGTGTGAGTCAAAACAGCAAAAAAAAACCAACCCATCCCGCCACAAGCCAATCCCCACAATGTAACACATAAACGCATCGATGAATGTAAGACCAATATAACAGGTGCGACTCCTTGTAACCATGCATGAATTTACCAATAAAGAACATAAAGATGCTTATCAACGAGAAATAAAGAAAATATCTCACCCAAGATAGCCGGGGGTTAAGATTTCACTCAGCAAGAAACATGTCCAAATTAACGAGATACAGAGCCATGTTTATCAACGTCCTCTTTCGAAACCGATGCGAGATCTACTAGAGCCTCCTTCATACCCATCTCGCATGGAAGAGCCTGCACTTGCTTTCATTGTCCCTCCAGAACCCACTTTGTCCATTGCTTTCTTGCCCTTCTTGACCTCCGTCAAGAACTGATCAAGACCAAATGGATCAGCTTCTTCAACCTCCTTCTCAAACTCGAGTGGCTTGTCTCTTGGACCACTCTTCTCAGAAGTGCCAGTAAACGCCTTGTCTGGTTTGAACCTCTCGGTTTTCATTGACTTCTCTAACTGCTCATCTGCACCACCATACATGTCTGAATCCATGTCTTTCTTCGGCTTGTAGAGTGTCGACAGAGTAGGTTGTGCTGTGAATAGACCTTTGTCGTAGATGTTGTATTGATCGTCCGTTGCAAATCCAGAATCCATTCCTTTCTCCTGGTTGAATAACCTCTGATCATACATTACTTCACCACCTCTTGCGGCACCAGTAGAAGCCATACCAAGAGCAACTTTTTCACTAATATCTCTACCTCTATCTCTCGTAATCTTACTCTTTTTACCCATGGCAGCATCTTTGGCCTCCAGCCTTCTCTCTGTCTCCCTTTCTCTCCGACGCTCTTCACGTATTTTCTCCCTCTGCAACCGCTCCTCCCTTTCTTCCTTTGACTCCTTTGGCATATCCCTTTCTCTTTCTCGTTCTCTTTCCCTCACTGGCTCATAATCCATTCTTGAATCAGTATCCATAGCACTTCTTTCAGACGACATTGGAACAGCAGCTGATGGTGCCACAGTCCCAGTTCTCTCAGAACGAGCTTTAACAGCTAAAGCTCGCAACTCCTTCTCCTTCATCATCATCTCTTTCTGCACCTTTGATCTCATTGCCACAGCTTCTCTAGCCTTCTGCTCTGCAACATACAAAGCCTCAGACAGTTTAGCAAAGTTATCATTAATCTGAACCTCCTGTAAACCTCTTCCATCAGCAGCAAGACGTTTATCCAGTGGAATTGTATATCCTTTTGGATTCTTCCAGTTCAAAGGACATATTAAAGCGTGCCATTTAATAGAGTTATTAAAAATTAAAAAAAATGTGATGCAAGAAAATAAATAATAAAATAAAGATGTAATATAAAAAAATAAATAAAAAAAATATCATAGGCCATCACCAGAATTAATGTAATCGCGTGTCAAACAAAGATAAAAAAATGTAAACGGTGTCGTGGTAAAATTTAATATTTAAGATCATTTGATTACATCAATTAACACTTTTATAGTTTGAAACCATTATGACGATAATATCTCTACAATTTTTTTCTTAACCTATTGATGTTAAACACACACCTTTCAAGTGCATGTCAATTTACATATATAACTATATTGTGAAATATTTTTTTATTTTCAATAAATAAAATAATAAAAATTAAAATATTTATATAAATTGACTTCAGATATTATTATTTTTATCAAATCATCATGAACTACCACGTTAATTTTGAGATTATCATATTAAAAACATAAATTACCACATAAACATGATAAATGTCAATGTTGTTTTATCGTAAAAAATAAATTTATTTATTTAAAAAAAATCTCAAAAATTGAAAAACATCGTATTTCATTAAGGGTCCGTTTGTTTCACTGAAAATGTTTTCCGTGAAACGAATTACATTTTCTGAAAAACATTTTCTGGAAAATGTTTTATGGTGTTTGGAAGATGTTGTGTAAACAATTTTTCACTAGTTTATAATTTTTTAGAAATTATTTATTGTAAACATAAAATATAATAAATAATATTATTTATTATAAAAACTTAATATCATTATTTTAAAAATATTAGAATAATTTATTTAATACTATTTATGCCAATATTATTATTAAAATATTATTTCTATAATTTTATAAATAAAAATATTAACTCTAGTATATTCTATTAAAATAAAAATATGATAAATTATATTGAATATCCTAAAAAATAAAATTTTAAATTTTAAAATTATTAATAAATATATTTTAAGGAATTTTTATAATATTATTAGACTATTATATTAATATTAAATACATAAATAAAAGTATTCACTATTAATAATTCAATAATATTATTTTTAAGAAATTAATAAATAATATAATTTTATTAATAATGTATATATTATTAAAATAAGAATATAATAATCATATATCATTATAATATAATTGAGTATATATTATAATATTATTATTATATTATATTATTAAAAATATTAATAAATAAATTTTAAATATGTTAATAATTAATATTTTTATTAAAATGATACTAAAATATTATATTAATATTAAATTTATAAAATAATATTATTTTGAATATTTATGTTTTGAAGTGTTTAGAAAATGACTTAAGTAAAATTAAACGGTAAATTATTTTTTAGAAAATAGAAAGAAAAATTTGTTGATCATGAAATATTATACATTGACCAATAATGTTAAGACACGTGGCAAAACCACGTAGCACTTAACCAATTAGATGAAACAACATTACCATAAGGTCAAATTTCCATTTTTATAGTCATTTTGGGACAGTGTCTTTAGCTGGGTGTCTCCTCTTCCGAAGTCTTCTTCTTCAGTCTACTCAAAACACATACACGCACAGACCTATAACAAGGTAAACGCCGTCAATGGCGGCCCCGGAGATCTCAACCGCCGCCGTTCCAACGCTGTACACCAACAACGCCTTGAGAAATGCTTTCGGCGGCGTTCTCGCTTTCTTCATCCTCCTCCTTATCGGTGTTATGGCTTTCTCGATCCGTTTATTCTCCGTAAGATCTCTCATTCCTCGCGCTACAAGAACCCTCTAGATCCGATCTGTGATATGCTTTTGAAATTAGTGAATTGCAGCTGAAGATTGACTTATTTTTTATATATTTAATTGATTTCCTAATTTGAATCTCCTGTTTGTATGGTCGAAAAGTTGGAGGAATTGGAGGAAAAAAAGAAGCTATATTTTTTTTCTTTTTCTTTTTGGCAAATGAGCTGCTTAATTATTCGAAACGCTTGTGCACTTTTATGTTTTCAGGTTATAAAATACGAGAGTGTCATTCACGAGTTCGATCCTTACTTTAATTATAGAGTCACTCAGGTAAGTTGACTCAAGTCTCCTCTCTCGTTTACAAATTATTGCTGTTTTCTATTCCTTTATATCTATTTGGCTTAAGTTGCATGCCAAGATTAAGTTATCTTGTTGTTTTCAGTTTCTTGCAAAGAATGGCATATACGAATTCTGGAACTGGTTTGATGATCGAACCTGGTATTCATCACTTGGTGGTTAATATATGAAGTTTATGGTTTTAAGTATGTCATAACTTAGGATTTCTGAATAGCGTGTATTTGTTTTTGGTATAATCAAGGTACCCTCTTGGGCGTGTGATAGGTGGAACTGTTTACCCTGGATTAACTTTGACTGCTGGCACCATATGGTGGTATGTTTTCCTGAATGTCAATACTTAATAGTGGAAGAAACATTTTTTTATTGAATTTTCATGTAAATTTTGCATTACCTGCATTTCACTTGTTTTTCTACCCGTGTTGCTTCAGGTTGTTAAATTCTTTAAATATTCCACTGTCCGTGGAGACTGTTTGTGTTTTCACTGCACCAATATTCTCTGCTTTTGCTTCATGGGCAACATACCTTTTGACTAAGGTCTTTCTTTTTTCCTAATGTGAAGTTGGTTGTTATATTGGTTGTTCACTTCAATTTATTTATTTTTGTTGATATTCTATTGCCTTTTTCACAGGAAGTTAAGGGTACCGGTGCTGGGCTGACAGCTGCTGCTCTTTTGGCCATGGTAAATCATGCAAGAGATACTTGTAGCATTAGAATTGATTCATTCATTATAGTTACTTTGAATTTCAGGTTTGAACAGCAGTGGTTAAGACTCATTTCATACTTGGATACATATATGTTTGCTTTTACCTGCCTGTATATGTATCTTATCACTATATTTGGCTATGCCACTTTGTTAACTTGGTATTAATATGCCTTATGAACTTCCTTCTAGGTTCCATCATATATATCTCGTTCTGTGGCTGGTAGCTATGACAATGAAGCTGTAGCAATATTTGCCTTGATCTTCACTTTTTATCTTTATATAAAGGTAAGACTTTGATTGAAGTGAATTTATTTAATTTCCTATAATTTTGCCTTCTAATGCTTATGGTAAAATCTGATTTTAACGTACTGGCGAATAGTATTAATGTTTTATAGGTGACCTGCTATTTATGTTGCTGGGAATTCCTTTCCATTTATTATTTTCATGTCTGATATTCTCTTCGTTGTTGGTTATTTGCAGACACTAAATACTGGATCTTTGTTCTATGCTACCTTAAATTCAATTGCATACTTTTATATGGTGGGTTTCTTATGCTAATCTATAGCCATGTTGTTATTTTCATTCCATGTTTATGTTTCTCAGTTGATTTGTTTTTCAGGTGTGCTCTTGGGGAGGATATACGTTCATTATTAATCTCATTCCAATGCACGTGCTTCTATGCATTGTAACTGGTCGTTTTTCTTCTCGACTGTACATTGCATATGCTCCTCTTGTAAGTATCTACATGGCTTAGGAAGCTTCATTACGAAGTCAATAAACAGTAGGAACATTTCAGTATGCTATTGAAGAATCATGCTAACAGTTATCAACTACAGTTATCATTTTGCAAAAACTGATGTTTTGTGAGAAACTAGAAGGGATGGGCTTTTGTTGAGGTTAACCTGAACAAAATAAATACATTTTGCAAGAGGCATTAGACTGATTGGCAACGTGCAGAAAACTATAATATTTTTTATCAAAATCCTAATAATTCGAACTTGATATATTTTATGGATACTTGAACTTGTAGGAGGTTGTATAAATGCTTTATATTTAATCTTGACCTTCACTTTTTCTGTGGATAGAAGGTCGTTCTACTAATAATGGTTTGTTCTAGTAATGAGGGAGGCATGTTTAGAAAATGCACCTATTTTTCTTGAATAGAAGACCCAAACTTTATGGAAATTTCTAGTTGGCTTTCTTGATTTTACTTCAAACTGCAGGTTGTTTTGGGAACACTGCTAGCTGCTTTGGTGCCAGTAGTTGGGTTTAATGCTGTCATGACATCGGAACATTTTGCATCATTCTTGGTGAGCTTTTTCCTCTATTTTCACTGAATTTTCTCTTGCCATTTGTAGTATCTTTTTTTTTTTTGCATTTCATTTGTATAGTCAACCCCAAATGGTTTAGCCTGCCTGTCAATAACCTAATCGCCTCTGTCCTAGTCATTTTTACTTGCTAACATTTCATTTTATTAACTGTTCCATTTGAGGAGTTATAGTTATGTGACCAACTGTTGTGCTTAAACGCTCATTGACAGTAACGATTCAAAAAGGTATTTGTGTGCTTTAGAACAAGTGACAAATAAAAGACGGTAGTTTTTTGAAGATCATTTTAGAGTGTAGTAATAGAATCAAGAATTTCCCAAATTTCTCACATCATATTCGGATACCCGACATAGTTCACGTATTTTCCCTTTACCCCTCCCTCCCTCTCTCCCTCCCTCCCTTTTTACTGATTATTGGTTCCTATGATGCTACTCCCTGCCTTTTGATCTATTAGTGTTTTCCCAACTGCAGGTTTTCATTATTCTCCATGTGGTTGCTTTTGCGTACTATATCAAAGGGATTCTTACCCCCAAAATGTTTAAAGTTGCTGTGACACTTGTTGTATCTGTTGGCCTGTAAGCTTTCCTTCTCTTCTGTTCCTGCAATTCTTCAGGGAAACATGAATCGACATACTAACGGCAACTAACAACAATATATAGGTAGTATATTATGATTTAAACTTTCAATCTATTCAGTGTACATTGAACAATAATTTACTATTTAAAGTTGCTGTGATACTTGTTGTATCTATTGGCCTGTAAGCTTTCCTTCTATTCTCCTCCTGTAATATTTTCAGGGAAACATGAATTGATATACGGATGGAAACTAAGAGCAAAATGTAGTGAATTGTTATGATTTAATCTTTCTTATTAATCAATTTGGCATGCATTGAACGGAAATTATATTGTGTCTGGACTTTCTTAGTAACTGGTAAGCATTTGAATTAGATTGAGGATTAAATTATCTCATATAATTTCTGTTCTCAGGGCAGTATGTTGTGCTGTTATAGCTGTTCTTATAGCACTAGTAGCTTCCAGTCCAACAAAGGGATGGAGTGGACGAAGCTTAAGTCTACTTGACCCGTAAGTACCTATTTCATTCTATTACCTTCCATGTTAATTGCTCTTGGGTGAAACTGTGAATGAAAAGATGGTGGCAGGAATTGTAATAAAGGTTGGTGCAGTCTGAAGCACCTTGAAACTGAGGTTATCCAGACATCTTGGTTTGGTATGGATCTACTTTGTAGGGGCCTTTTGTTCTGTGCAAATTCTTTAAATCTTGGATCTGAATGACATACCAGAAAACTATCTAATCTGTTAGCATTAAGTGGGTTTCACATTCAAACAGTATTTTTGCTTAGATACCTTAGTGTCATTTGTTCAGCCAATAGTCGTTCAAAATGAGCTGGGTAACTTCTTTTCCATTTTTTACTGCTTCTTGACAGGACTTATGCAAGCAAATATATACCAATCATTGCTAGTGTTAGTGAACATCAACCACCAACATGGCCATCTTATTTCATGGACATTAATGTTTTAGCATTCTTGGTTCCAGCTGGTATCATTGTAAGTTGCAAGCTTTTGAATGGACCATGTTGCCCTTTATTCCTATAAGTGAAGTTCATGTAGTATGATCAATAATTGTTCTTGTCCTTTTTTGAAGGCATGCTTTTCTCCTTTATCAGATGCAAGCTCATTCGTGGTCCTGTATATTGCAACATCTGTATATTTCTCTGGAGTAATGGTAAGAGGAATATAGACAATCAATTTGAGGCCATCACTCCATATTTTTATATGCTAATAGTGTGGAGCCTTTTATGGTCTAATTATACAGGTGCGTCTAATGCTTGTGTTTGCTCCAGCTGCATGCATCACATCTGGAATTGCTCTCTCCCAAGCTTTTGATGTTTTCACCCGATCAATTAAGTTTCAGCTTCCTGGAATATCAAGCAATACAGAAGTTGATGTAAGCAGGCTCTGTTTATCAATTCTAAAAGTTTGTTCTCAACCAATCATTTGATGAATTCATTTAGCCACAGGACTAAAATTATTTTCTGCTGCTTCTGAACAATAAGGCTGCAGAAACTAGTTCTGCTACCGCTAAAGCACAGAATGATGCAGTAAAAACTGAAAAATCTGAAGAGACGTCAAAGAATCGTCCCTCAAAGAAGAGCAAGAAGAAGGAAAAGGAGGAAAAACCTTCAACCAAAGCCAAATCTGAGAAGAAGAGGCTTCTTGCTTTACCTTTGGATTCATCTGTGATTTCTCTTCTTCTACTCATCTTGTTGGGTGCCTTCTATGTGGTACTTTGGTTTCCCTTTTATATCCTCTAATTTCTTGTTTTTGCCAGTGTTCCTCATTGTAGAAGTTAATATGATGGTAATCTGTAACTTCTGAGAGGTTGTTCTGGTTGTAAGGATTTGTCTATGTTATCATCTGCTGGGTCTAGAACCTGCATGGCTGCATTAGGTATATGATTGAAAGGATGTGACAAGAAAAAGAGAGAGGAATGATAACTATTCGTACGGAAAATATATTTTATTTTTTAAACTGTTAGGAACAATATCACCATCTCAATGAGCTTTAAGATATAAGAAAATCGTAAATTTCTGTCGAATTCTTCTCAAATGCTGCAGTGCTGCTTTCATATAGAATACTTGTTCCCTTCTGATATTTAGTCTTGTTTCAACGTGTCATACAAAAGTCCCTAAATGATAGTTAATATGATTATTCTTATGGCATTTAAAAGCTAGTGATCTCTCCTTTTTTGACAACAATGTGGCTGACATTAATGTAGCCTATGATTTAAAAGTCATTCTGTTGGAAATATCTATATATTGAAATAGAATTAAACTTTGTTACTAGTTCTTTTTTTCTCCTGTAACTGGAATTTCCTTTCTTGTTGATTTAATTGCATTCCTCCACATTAAAGCACTTCCCTTTGCAGGTTCATTGTGTATGGGCAGCAGCCGAAGCTTATTCAGCCCCTTCTATAGTTTTAACATCCCGTTCTCATGATGGTCTACATGTTTTTGATGATTTTAGAGAGGCTTATGCTTGGTTGCGACATAATACTGATGTTGATGATAAAGTAAGTTCTCTGTGGTAATTCTCCACTTAGATTTTCTAGATTTCAGACATTCTATTTTCCAGCATTCAAATTTCTGATTAGGCATCCAGTCTTATTGGCTTGATGTTTTTCTTCACACTTATTTTTGTGGAATAAATAATGTAAAAAAAAGAGAATATTTCGAGCTGTATGATATATGCTGATAAGTTGAGCATATAATGGGTTGGCTCTGATTTGTTATCAGTGATAATTTTTGCAGATTTATGTATTTTCTTCTTATTTAGGAATGAACTGTTTCTGCCTGTAGTGGCTTGCTTTTTGTTGATTGTAACATATTTTATCAAATAAGTTGTCTGAGAAACGAAGTTTAGTTTGACTGTGCCAAGTGGATCTCCTCACAGGTTGCATCTTGGTGGGACTACGGTTACCAAACCACCGCTATGGCTAACCGCACTGTCATTGTTGACAATAACACCTGGAACAATACTCATATTGCAACTGTTGGTACTGCCATGTCTTCACCTGAAAAGGCAGCTTGGGAAATTTTCCACTCTTTGGATGTAAAATATGTTCTAGTCGTCTTTGGAGGTTCGGATTTTTCTTTCTTTACTTGAAATGCACTGCCTTAATTTATTATCATTCTGACATCTAATTCGCTCATTAGGTCTCGTTGGCTACCCCAGTGATGATATTAACAAGTTCCTGTGGATGGTTCGAATTGGAGGAGGTGTGTTTCCCCATATCAAGGAACCTGATTACCTGGTAAGTTCGCTCTGCTAGCACTGCCGTAAAAATCCACCGTTATTCCATTATTTGGCTTCTCTTTCGTTCTTGGAGACCAAATCATGCTTGTCTAATATTTTCTTGGTTTCTCGTAATAGAATGTTACCGCACGTTTACTTGTTATAATTATTAACTGTTACGTAAGTTGCTCTCTACAGAGAGATGGTCAGTATCGGATTGATTCCCAGGCCACTCCAACCATGCTGAACTGTTTAATGTATAAACTCTCTTATTACAGGTCTGCTGCTGTCAACTCTCGAGTTTATATGTGCTTTTGGTCAGTTTTTGCTTTTAGTTCAAGTACTTCATCCCTTAAATTACATGTCTACAGGTTCGTAGAAACCGATGGGAAAGGCTATGATAGAGTTCGGCAGACAGAAATTGGAAAGAAATATTTTAAACTCACTCATTTTGAGGAGGTACGATAATCATAATTTTCATTTATATTCGAATAGCACCTCAGACATACGAATCATGAAAATTAACCAATACTATTTGTTCAAATAATTTCTCCATGAAACATTTCGTTTACTGCCTGGCATTCGGATCGTTTGGCAATTTGATAGTGTAGCCTATGCGGCGGATGATTTCCCCTGTTCAAGCATATAGCCATGATAAGATATTCTCTGGTCTTTGGTCAATTTAGGTATTCACAACTCATCATTGGATGGTTCGGATTTATAAACTGAAGCCCCCCAAGAACAGGATTCGAGGAAAATCGAAGAAATCGAAATCGGTACATATAATCATAGATTATCTCCATGATCCACACACATGGATGCGCGAGCACACCGAGAGGCACGAACATTTCATATATTTTTTTCTTTAATTCTAACTTTATATGTTTTTGCAGAAGACTAGCTCAACATCAAACAGGGCTAAGAGAAGTGGAACAGGAAAGAAGAATCCATGGCACTGAGGAACAGAAACATTTTACAACAATGGTGAAGTATCTGTTAACCCTATATAGAACTGTTTGCGGGATGGGGCCTTTTAGAGAGAATGATTTGATTCTTTTTGAGGCAACGGTAGGCTATTTTCCTCTATTAGTTTTACAAACAAAACAATCAAATCAAACAGGACTTTCGAAACACTCAAACTTGGATCTTTGCAAACTGTTCTAAATGATCAAAATGTCTTATCACGTCGGTTTTCTGGCAAAGTCAGCACCCAACCAATTTTTGTAGCACTTATTTGTTTGGTTTAATTTTGTTATGAAAATTGGGGAGATAATGACGAGTAAATTAAAAGATAGAAAACAAGAATGTTAAGATTTGTATGAATATCTTAAGAATAAAAAATCATAGGTAGAAGGGAGATTATAAATGAAATGATAAAGATCCGTCATTACAAGATCCTTTAACAATTCTAAAGATATTTAATAATAAGGGTTAAATACACAAATGGTTCCTCGATTATAGGTATTGTTTTATTGAGTTCTATTATTATTAAAAAGTTATAAAATGATCATCCGATTATGGAGTGGTGTTTTGTTGAGTTATTTGATTATTAAAAGTTATAAAATGATCACCTGACTATTTATTATGTTTTAAACTTATTATTTTTCGTTAAATTTTGATGGTATTTTGAGTTGAACGTTAATTATTTAAGTACTTAATGTAATATGATAAAATCTGACTTTAGAATTTCATATGGTTATCATATTTCAATCATTATGTTAACAATTAACTCAGAAAATTAATAATTTTTTAACGAAAAATGATGAGTTTAAAACATAATGAATATTCGAGTGATCATTTTGTAATTTCTAATAGTCAAGGGATTTAATAAAGTAACATTTTATATTAAAGGATTATTTTATAATTTTTTTAATAATTGAAAGACTAAATAAATTAATATCTTATAATTAAGAGACTATTCAGGTATTTACCCTAATAATAAATATATTTTTGTACGGATTGAATATGCGGTGAGATTTATATGGATTCAACTCAATGCTATGAGCCATGGATCCTCGTCTTTCTCTTAACTCATTTCAAGGTAAATTATACGTTTAATATTTAAATTATTAGTTTTTGTTTATTTAATATTTATATTTTTAATTATTTTTAAAATCATACTTAAATTTTAGGTTTTGTTTCATTTTAGTACAACGATTTAACATTAAATTTTGTTTTTTTAGTTTAAATATTAAAACTCATAGCTTATATACTAAACACGTTAAATTATTAACGGTAGAATAATAAAATGAAGCAAAAATTATACATTATGTATGGTTTTGAAAAAAATTAAAAATTTATACAATAAGTATAATTTTGAAGAAAAAAAATTAAAAATTTATGTACTAAAACAGATTAAGTGTATTTTTGACTAAAAGCATAATAAAATAACATGTTTGATCTAAAACACATCAAATTTGGGACATAATATTTTAGGTATCGACTGAATTGGACTTTATGACACTGATTTAATATATCAATTGACGTAAACCTTCAATAATTTTTCTCAATTTAATATTTGGAAATATTTTTGTTAAGTTCACCATCAGCAAAGCTAGCCTTGATGCTGAGCTCCACCATGCACTATTGAGCAATTGGCATTCGAGAACAACAAATTATCAAACCTAACTTTCACCCTGCAGTTTTGGTTGTATTGACTCATAATGTTTCATCCATCATCCTCACCCTCCATGGATATCGATATTATAATGCTCGGAAGCACTTGACTGTCGCCGGCGGAGCATTGTATCCTTTTCTTCTTATGAGGTTGCCCCACACCAGGTATGAATCACCTCAAGCCTTTTATAATACCGTCATTCGATGGTTTTCACCGGAATCAAGGAATTTGTCAGAGTTTCTTTGACAAGTTGTAATCAAGGAACTTGGCCGCCGACTCGTCATTCCGGTAACAGAAAACTCGCAAGAGTGTGTTCGGTTCCATGGAACTCCACTGACCAGAGGTTGGTGGCAGTGGAAGTTTGGATTTGGCAGAAGAACCGTAACTCTGTAGTCATGTATTTGAATTGTTCGATCAGGCTGTCCGTATCAGTATGAAATAATGGGAGGATGGCCTTAACTGTGGTTGAAAACTTTTCGATCAAATCAGCCGGAAGTCCATCACCGTTGGACCAAAATAAATCTTTCAAGAACTTAAAATCTTCTGCTATTGCTTCGTGATCTTGCAGGCTGAAAACACAAGCAGGGCCTCCGGCAAGTAAAACCAGTAGGAAACCAATATGATTAGGGGTTATGGACAGGATTTACAGGCACTGGCTCTTTATGAAAAATTGTTGCAAGAAAAGTTGAAACCTGATAATATAACGTTTGTGGCTGTTCTATCTGCTTGTAGCCATGCTGGTTTAGTTCAAGGACATCGATATTCCGATTCTATCAGTAAACGGCATGCATTAGTGCCCTCTTCTGATCACTATGCATGCATGATCAATCTCTTCGGCCGTTCCGGTTGCACGAGAGAATGGATCTAACGAACAATATTCTGGTCAACCCTTCTTTCTGTCTGTGCAGTAAATGGCGACATTGAACACGCGGAGATGGCTGCTAAGCGTCTCTTTGAATCGGACCCCCTTAATGCAGGACCTTATATCATGCTTTCCAATACGTGTGCCGCCCTTGGAAGATGGGAAGATGTCCAATCAGTGAGATCTCTCATACAGTTGGATCGAGATCGATAACGAAGTTCACAAGTTTGTAGCAGAAGATGCAACTCATAATGTGGTAGAAGAGAAAAAAATTCGCAATTTCGCATCCATTTGTTCATGAAGCTTGTGTCTAAAGTTATAGGGAGGCCGAACATGTTGAGAGATTCAAACAGCTTCCATCATTTCGTCGATGGGAAGTTGCTCCTGCAAGGATTACTGGTTAGCAATAGTTGGAAAATTCGATTTTTTTCCGAGATGAGTCGGGTTTTGTTCAACCGGAAATTTCAGCAGATTCTTAGCAAGTTATTATGGGCCTCTAAAAGTATATTGGGATGGGCTGGATTGGCCCATTTTGGTAAAGAGCACAAGTGAGCCAAGCCTCAACTACAAAGTATATTAGGTACAACATGTTTTTCTTTTTGTATAATCACATGTATTCGATCTATTGATCCACTAATCCGGATGAGGTACTGCAGAGGCAAGGACAACCCTCCCAACCCAGTTTGTTTCATTCGCAATCGCCAAGATTCGAACCTCTGACCTTGCTTAAGGGATGTAATGTCTCGTCCCACAAGACCAACTGGTTGTTGGTATTATGTACAACATTTTGATCACAAAATAAATGTAGCTTTTCTTGTTGGTTAGTGAGTTGCGACTCAAAAGTTGCATGGACTGGATCAAGAATTCTCAAAATGTTTATTATACAAATTGGTCCTTGAAGTTGGCAAATATTTTCAGATATGTACATGTGTCATGACGTGATTCATTGTTGAAGTGCCACTTCAGGACTAGGTACTAATCTGAGACAAAAAAATTAAGCATCAATTCGAGAAAATTGACAAATTTGGGTGGTAATTAGTATAATTAGCGTATCATTTTAATCACAGTCAAAATCAAATCCCTTTACTTTCTAGTGCCATTATCACCATCATCAACCCTCTTTCCCCTACTTAATTCCAGCCTCCCATCCAAGAATAATTGTAGCAAAATCTAAAAAATATTATACCATAATAAACCAGAATTAAAATCAGCCTATTATAAATGGGTTGGTTCAAGTCTATGTGTTTGCAGAAAATCTTCGTCGGAAGACTCATCTACCAAAGTCAAGTATGGGACACAGGTCTATTCGGATTAGTCAGTTAGATACATATTTAGCCAAAAGAAAAAAATACTATATATATTTGTATCGGGTGTAGACAAATGCGAGTTTTTATATTAAAATTTACGAGTTTAAGATTGGATGGAACTTTTTTAAACCCACATGGAGATCGAATTCAAATGAAAGGATATAATTATCGAGTAAGATCGGATTAGTCGGAAATCAGACAAATTACAATCCCTATACGCCATAGATGCAGTCAAATGCAAATGGTAAGGTCAGCGTGGGATAAAGCCAGTGAACCTGCCATGTTGTCTTCTACTCTACCTCTACTAAAAAACAAATCTTGAGATAAACTATATTCAAACTTGTATTCGTTCCAACCATACAAATTTGTATTCATTGCAGATATTGTTTCAATGGAGAGAAAAAAGGAAGAAAAGAAAATCATGAAACCCATTTTTCACAAGGGAATCAAAATGCAAGAAAAGTTATGGGCTATGGGACAGCCACCCCACCACCAGGACTCCAAGTAGGGGTGGATCGAGAGGACGGGTGAGGGCAGTCGTCCCCTAAAAATTTAAAATTACTATATATTTTAAAAATTTTTCTATGTATTTCTTATTGAAAATCTATTTCGGCCTTAGAATTTTAGTTCATCCCCTAAGCTTAAATTCACCCCTAATATAAAATCTTGCGTTTGTCCCTAACATCAAATGTACCTTCCTTTCACCATTGATGAATCTGTTGCCACCCAAGACAAAAGTGGTTCGATATCATTAGCCGAAAGGGTGTAAAAGTACGTGTGAAGGGCTAAGAGATTATAGGAGGGTTAACATACGATTTTATACGATTTTATGTTAGGAGTGAATTTAAACTTATAAAATTTTAAGGGAAAAAACTTAAATTTATAAATTTTAAGAGAGCAAAAACAGATTTTCAACAAAAAATATAAAAATAAACCTAAAATATATAATAATTTTAAAATTTCAATGAACGACTGTACATGTCCGCCTAGATCTATCCATGGTTAACAGATTCTTCATTGGATCAATGTGTTGGATTATTTAGGGATGGATAGGAGAAATAATTGTATTTTAAGGGTAAATTGTGTGTTTAGTGCATAAATTATTAGTTTTTGTTCATTTTAGTATCTAAACTTTCAATTTTTTTAAAATCATGCCTAAAATTTAGTTTTTGTTTCCTTTTAATACCCGTTTGAAATTTAACGTTAAGTTTTGAAAAAAATTAAAAGTTTAGGTACTAAAATGGACAAGAACTGATAGTTTAGGTACGAAACGCGTTAAGTTTTTAATGGCGGGATATTAAAATGAAACAAAAACTAAACGTTAGGTATGATTTTGAAAAATAATGAAAGTTTAGATAATAAAACAGACTAAAACTCATAGTTTAGGTACTAAATGGA